TAAAAAAACCCAAAAGGCTAGAGTTTAGATACTTAGCATGAAATATCTTCTAGTGAGTGTCTACCAAGTTTGTTCAAATAAAAGCCCTGGGGTCAAAATCTTAGACAGTATCATAATAATTGACATAGAGTCATACAATTGACAAAACAGTGGAGTGTGGGAAAACAGTGTGGGGACACCTGTGTCCTATATGAACACATCGATAGTTTTCTTTAATTTTCTGTTTAATTTTAGAAATAGTTAGAAAAGTTGAGTTTTGCCCCTGTCTGGCAGTGGCTCTTGTTGAGTTATTGCCCTTTCTTAATTTTCTTACTTAAAAATATTGTCCAGAGCATAACTTTGTCAATATATGCCTATCTGCTATACTGTTGACGAAACAAGATATCCGACTACTGGAGAGTTCTAGTCTATTCAGAATATTTTTGGGAAAAAAATCAGGACAATCATTGGATTTCATCACATCCAGAAAATCAACTTATCAAAGTGTGTCGCGTAGAAGTTATACAATATATTGGGAAACTGTATGTATGGTTTTATCATGACGCGGCTCAATTACTTTTATTACTATTTATGTTGTAGGAGATACAAAGACTCAAGGTAGAAGATTCGCCTCAACAAAAACAGTCAGCATATGAAAAGGCTAAGTCAGGTATGTTATAAAGAATATGAAAAGGCTAAATCAGGTATGTTATTTAGAATATGAAAAGGCTAAATCAGGTATGTTATATAGAATAAAAAAGACTTAATCAGGTATGTTCTATAGCAGATGATTTATGAAAAGGCTAAATCAGGTATGTTATATAGACTATGAAAATGCTAAATCGGATGTATCGTTAAGAATATAAAAAGGTTAAATCAAGTATGTTATAAAGAATATGAAATAGGCTAAATCAGGTATGTTGTATAGACTATAAAAAGGCTAAATCAGGTATGTTATATGAAATATGAAAAGGCTAAATCATGTCTGTTCTTCTATAGAATATAAAAAGGCTTAATCAGGTATGTTCTATAGAATCTGTAAAGGCTAAATCAGGAATGTTATATAGACTTTTGAAAGGCTAAATCAGGTATGTATAGAATTGGAAAAGGCTAAATCAGGTATGTTATATAGAATATGAAAAGGCTTAATCAGGTATGTTCTATAGAATCTGTAAAGGCTAAATCAGGAATGCTATATAGTATATGAAAAGGCTAAATCAGGTATGTTATATAGAATTTGAGAGGCTAAATCAGGTATGTTATATAGAATATGAAAAGGCTAAATCAGGTATGATATATAGTATATGAAAAGGCTAAATCTGGAATGTTATATAGAATATGAAAAGGCTAAATCAGGTATGATATATAGTATATGAAAAGGCTAAATCTGGTATGTCATATAGAATATGAAAAGCCTAAATCAGGTATGATATATAGTATATGAAAAGGCTTAATCTGGTATGTTATATAGAATATGAAAAGGCTAAATCAGGTATGTTATATAGTATATGAAAAGGCTAAATCAGGTATGTTATATAGAATATGAAAAGGCTAAATCAGGTATGTCATTTAGAATTTGAAAAGGCTAAATCAGGAATCCCCTCAAATTGTCCCCAATGGATACAAGATCATTATCTTTACATAAATATATAGAATGAACAACAGAACAATTTAGTTATGAAATAATGTTTAATGTCCTGCAAGCTACTTGGTTATAGCTGTCTGAACATGAAATAAACCAACAGATATATGTACAAATAAACCCTCATTTGCAAAAAAAAAACATACTTTAATTTATATCGCTTCATAAATTACATGTAAATAACTTCAGGCAAAGTACATGGCAATTTGATAGAAAAGATGGAACACGTGCATCTTATATCAGATTCCTTAACAAAACTTATAATAACAATCTTAATCTTCTTCATCTGACATGTTGACATTCGGTTAACCAAGCGCTGAATGAATTTGCAACGCTATTCCGAAAAATCACGTGCTGGTATAGCTCCCTCATGTGATCTGACAGGAATAAAAACAGGAGTAATATTTTTTAACCGAAGGAAAAATCTGGTTATTAGATTGAGGTATGTCAGCGGGCGGGCGGGCATAAATAATTTCTTCTGTGCGCAACTCCTACATTTCTCAACGGATTTTGACCAAACTTTCACAGAAGCTTTGTCTTCAAGTGCCCTGGTGCATATTGTCAGGGTTTTGTGATTGGATAATATGTGACCTAATTTTGGCCCTTTGTTTTTTCCCTTATATAGAATATATAGTGAACAATTTCTTCTGTGCGCAACTTCTCCTAAATTTCTCAAAGGATTTTGTTAAAACTTTCACAGAAGCTTTGTCATCAAGTGTCCTGATGCATCCTTTTGTGGTTTTGTGATTGGATAATTTTTGACCTAATTATGGCCCTTTGTTTTTTTTCCTTATACAGAATATTTAGTGAACAATTTCTTCTGTGCGCAACTCCTCCTACATTTCTCAAGGGATTTTGTTAAAACTTTCACAGAAGCTTTGTCATCTAGTGCCCTGATGCATATTGTTGGTTTTTGTGATTGGATAATTTTTGACCTAATTATGACCCTTTGCTTTTTTCCCTTATATAGAGTATATAGTGAACAATTTCTTCTGTTGCCCAACAGCTCTACATTTCTCAAAGGGTTGTGTTCATATTTTCACAGATTAGCTTTATCTTCAAGTGCCCTGATGTGTATTGTCAGGGTTTTATGATTGGATAAGTTTTTACCTTTTACCTTATTATGGCCCTTTGTTTTTCCTTAAAATTAAATTATTAGTGTAATATATCCTATTAATCACAACAAACTTTATTTAGTTATAAAACAGAAACTATCTAGGTTGTTGCATGCCTGCCAGCTCATCCGCCTGCTTTTGGGTCCTGTTAAGTCAAGGTCAAGGTCATTGTTGTTAAAAATAGAAAATCTATTTCCAGTCAGGCCACTATTACTAAAAAAAGAAAATAGGTTTTAATATCAGTAACTACTTTGGAATAAGATAATTTTATGAAATTTGGTGTAAAGTAAGTTTTTATAAAGACCTTACTTGGGATGGCTTTTTGCTCCCCCGGGGTCAAGGTTACAGTTATTGAAAATAAAAAATTCATTATTCATGATTTACATTGCACATAGTTACATTGTTTATTGCTTGTATTTGTATTTCAGCTACAACATATTTATCTACAATGGTGATAATTGAAAACCTGGTTTCTTGGCATAACCATGTTTCTTGTCTTCTAATGCACTTTGTTTAAAGGAAGAAAAATTTATTTTTGTATAGAATATTGAAGGCTTAATCAGTTGTATATCAGTGACTACTTGTTGACTAAATTCAGTCAGTTGCTGACTTACTAATTTGTCTTTATAATTTAAGGAGGCCCTCAGTGCTGTGTTCTATTTCTTTTATATATTTCTGTATTATTTACTTGTTAATTTTCCTTAACAATTGGATGTCATATTATCATTTAAATTACAGAATGGCGGAAAAAGCTTATAGAACAGTATCACAAAACCCTGCTGCAAGTTCCTACAACACCTTTACAACCAAAAAGTGAAAAATGCAGTTTTAAAGACATTTATATTAGACCAACAATAACCAAGGACATAAAAAGAGAAAAAGGTGAGACAGAGGAGGTGGAGGTTAAAACAATGTCCGAAATCTTCACAAAGGACGGTGTCCCCCAAAAATACGTATATGTTCTAGGAGATGCAGGGTCAGGAAAAACTAGTTTTTGTAAATATCTGGTTAACTGCTGGTGTTTAGCACATAGTGAGGAACATGGAGCTGGCAATGAAAACGAAGATGGCAATGGTAAACCTGAATGTGACAGTGAAAAACATGCAGGTGATGGTGAAGAACATGAAACTGACAATGAAAATAAGGGTGGCAGTAGCAAACCTGAAGGTGACGGTGAAAAACATGCAGGTGACGGTGAAAAACATGGAGGTGTCAATGAAAATGAAGGCGGTAGTAGTAAACCTGGAGGTGACAGTGAAAAACATGGATGTGATGGTGAAAAACATGGAGGTGTCAATGAAAATGAAGGTGGCAGTAGTAAACCTGAAGGTGACAGTGATAACCATGAAGGTGATGATGAAAATATGGAGGGGTCAATGAAAATGAAGATGGCAGTTGTAAACCTGAAGGTGACAGTGAAATACATGAAGATAATGATGAAAAACATGACGCTGGAGTTGTCAATGACAATGAAGTTGGCACTGAGAAACAAGGAGGTGATTTTGAAGAACATGAAAAAAGGGAAGTGACATTGTAAATGAAAAGGTAAAAGGGACACAAAGTGGAGACATTGAAATCAAAGAGAGCAGTAAGACACATCAAAGTGTTTATGAGAAACGAGGAGATGAAAAACATGTCGTGACATTGAAAAAAAATAAAGTGTAGTGATGACTTCGGATAAAATGTTTTTTTATTTAACCCGTCCCCAATGATTATCTGATGGTGACTCAAGGGCCCAAAATCCGCTCCGATGATATTTTAAAAGATTTAAATTTTTGCAGTGAGGCTATTTTTTAAAATTAAAGAAAAATATTGCGTGATAACTGATGATACTTAAAACTTTAAATTTGTAGTGATGGTTGTAAATAGATTAAATGATTAAATCTGACAGTGAGAACTGATGATTTTTTTAAAGACTTAAAATGCGACTTTAAATGCCCAAAATATGATACAAAATTATGAACAAATTAAAATGGTTACAAAGGAAAAAATTTGTTTTTGGGATTTTACCCCCTTTTGGGATATCAAAATTTTGGGGCACAAATCGAGAAATGTTTAAAAAATTTTAAAGGGAAATGTAAACACACTTTTTGAAGGGGAACCCTCAAAATTTTTTTTATTTAAATTTTTTGGCCCAAAAACATTTTTAAACAAAAACAAGAAAAAAAAAATTTTTTAGGGGGAGAGGGAACAGTCGTGAATTAAAAGGGTTTTGATTATAGATTGAAAGGAAAAGGGAAAAGGACGTCAAAATTAAATTAAAAAACATGTTAATAAAAAAAGCAAGAGTTTTGTAGGAAAAGCTAGAAAAAAAGTTTGAGATTTTTAAAAAGGTAAAATTATGCACACCAATGATAGTCTAGGGTTTGTGGAATGATAAAAATAAGATTCCCATTACCCCGGATTTTTTGAGTTATTCTTCCCCGGGAATAATGAAAACTAAAAGGAAAGATGCTATGAAGGGGCCCAAAAAGGATCTTCCAAAATACTTACCGAAAAAAAATAATTAAAATTAAACCGCATTTCATTTATGAAGTGTCACAGTTGGCTTATGAGACACTATTTAATTGTCCGAAGGATAAATCCTTGACATTTGACATTTGTACGTTTGATGAAGTAGAGATATCAGATGAAGTAAGAGAAAATTGCTTGAAACTTGGAATAATTACAGAAGATGAATGTCCAAGTTTATCTGCATCAGAACCACCAAGCTCATTGTTCTCTTTTATTCACAAATCAATGCAAGAATTTCTGGCTGCAGTGAATATTGGTATCAATTTCAATGCAAAAACTGGTTCATCAGATAGTACAGGAAATGTTGAATTAGCCAAAAAGTTTATTAATGAGGTTTTTCAGAAATGTTTAACAGTAAATGACATATTAGAACAGTCAAATGTCATCATTATGCTATGTGGTCTAGAACCTAAATTAGCAACACATATTTCAAAATACATATATGATACTGTGTCGGAAGACTCTCGTGTTCAGGAATACAGGAGGACAATAAGTGGTGACATTTTTAATATAATTAGTAGGGATCATCGTTGTATTACTGATATTCAAAAGTTTATGTTTGATTCTATGGAAGAATTAAATGCAACATGTAGTATAGGAAGTAATCCTGTATTTTATATAGGAGATTTATTCATTGATAGACGGGGTCAGTATTGTGATATTGTTTGTTCAAGTATTGATCAGAAACACATTGTTCCTGACTATGTTCTGTCTGTTCATGTAGATAAAATAAACTCAAAAACTGGTAAATTTACAAAATATTTACCAATGTTTCATCATCTTGAAAAAATTGAAATAGAATATCAATTTGTATCTCAAAGGTTAAATACACAAAGTGATAGTACACAGAGTAATGAACAGTTGATTAATGAGATTAATGATTGTGTTGCTGAGACATTTAAAGTAAACACTTCAACATTAAAATCTCTGTCTCTTCATGTCTCTTTCTATGAGGAATATTACCCAATGTGTAAAACAGTTGTTAGTTACCTACCTAGTATGATCAGTCTTGTAGCAATAAGTATGAAAGATATAACAATGAGTCATGATGATACTACTACATTTTGTAATTTTCTTGAGAGAACCAGTCATCTTGAACAAATACAGCTTAATTATGTTAGTTGTGAGTGTATGAAGCAGCATGATGTAAATTTATCAAAACATCAACAACTTCAGTACCTTTATTTGTATAATACTGTTAGTGTGATAGATGCTGATACTACAAACCTTGAAATATTTACATTTAGTAACTTGAAAGATAGTAATTGTGTGAAAATATTTGATATTATTAGAAAATCTAACAAATTAAAAGAACTTGTGTTGTATGGAGAATATACCAATATATCTCAATTATATCATACCAACATAACAAAGAGACTAGTTACAGTATTACCATTGTTACACAATCTCAGTAAGCTTGGCTTAGTGTATTATAGGTTAACTGACAATATAATACAGTTGCCTTTAGAGATGAAGAGTTTAAAGAACATTCAGCTTTTTCATGTCAGAATGAGTTTGACAACATGGCAGAAGTTTGTTGATAGTCTTCCTCCTATTCCTCATACTGTAGATGTGTGGAATGTGGAATGTTATATAACAGGAGATGGTGAGCAGTTTAATGATGATAGGTTAACATGGACATATCTAAGAGGACTTAGAGGAGGGAAAGGAAATGATGCTAAACAGTATGTAAAAGACCAGGATCAGTTATTTCATGTTAAGCGTGATTATGATAATTTGTTTGAATTTTCAACAAAAAAGTGATAAATTTAGAATACATGAAGTGTTTAAACTAAATTATTAAAAGGGATGATAATTGTTTTTTTTCATTTTGAACAAAAAGAAAATTATCTGATTTTTTAACATAGTGAGAGAGAATACATGCAGTTAACATAGTGCTTAATTTAAATTATTTCATGATAAAAGACATACAAAAAAAGACTTTTATTATCAGCAAAATAAGGAAAATTAATACTAAAGTTACATATTGATATGTTAAATAATGAATGTTTACAATATGATAAATAACAATCATCAAACATAATTCATTAAATATCAATTTCTGATCATTGTAGTAATATTGAAATTGATGAAAGTAATATTCAAATGTGTATTTCAATAAATAATTGAAAGAAATGCAGTGACATATTATGAAAATTAAGGTAACTGTTTTTCTTAAAGATCAGGGATAGTTTGTGAAAAGTATAATTTGAAAAAGTAATAGGTTCTTTGAATTATAAATACATAAATAGATAAATAGATTAGCAAGTAAATAAATTAATGAATAAGTAAATATAATAAGTAATTTGAATGGAAATATCATAAAACAGATTTTTAATGTACAAGGTCAGAAAAACTAAAGATAAATATTACATTCAAATACCAGTTATATTATATAATATATGATAGGATAAGGGAATGGTATATGTAATTACCAGTTATATGGTATATGTTACAAGTGAATGGTATATAAAAATACCAGTTATATGATATATAGGACAAGGGAATGGTATATATCAATACCAGTTATATGATATATAGGACAAGGGAATGGTATATATCAATACCAGTTATATGATATATAGGACAAGGGAATGGTATATATCAATACCAGTTATATGATATATAGGACAAGGGAATGGTATATAATAATACCAGTTATATGATTTATAGTACAAGTGAATCGTATTTATAGATATCAGTTGTATTTAGGACAATGGAACGGTATATATAAATACCAGTTATATGATATAGAGGACAAGTGTTTGGTATATAAAAATACCATATATGTATATTATATGTTAAATATGCAAAGGAAATGGTATATATCAATACCAGTTATAAGATGTAAAGGAAAATGGAATGGTATAAATAAATACCAGTTATATGTTATATAAAGCAAAGGAATGTTATATGTAAATTCCTGTTATACAATATTTAGACAATGGAATTATTTATATCAACACCAGTTATATGATATATAGGACAAGTAAATTGTTTCATTGTGATGAGGACCATTTACATGTTATATTTTAGACATTCCTTCTTTGATTGTTTTATATTGTAAAGATTGTAAAAATTTACAAATTATAATAATGCACAACGATTCATGTGTACAAGTTAATACTGTTATAAATATTACTCAAATTGTATAGTAAAAGGGACTCCACTGAGGATTTTATTATATTAATTGTTTTGACGGGAGTTATGTTGTTGATGTGTCATACTATTTAATGAAGAGTTATTACTTTTCATGTAAAGAAAATTGTATGCAAAATTTCAGATTATTTGCTCACTTAGTTTTTCCAAAATACTAGTAATCATTTTACCTCGGCTATTCAATGAATAGCTAATGCTATAATAGTACTTACCGCATTGGCATCAAACTTAGGTTACTTTTATTTCCATTTTTGAAGTTAGATCATTCAGCATTATCCATCACTGTGGATAGTCAAGCACAATGTCCTGTCGACAGTGTTTAAATGTTTATAGCTAAAGTCCTTCTGAAAATTACACTTCATTAATATCGATTTTCAATTTTATTTCGAGTATATTTCTTTAGTATCATTTTTTCCCTTATTGAATATCCCAATTAATCTGTTTTGGCTTTTCTATTTTTATTCTTTATTGTTTGGCTTTTGGACCTCAGTTGAGCTCCTTTAAGTGAACTATTTGTTGTTTATGTTAGAATGATAATTTTAAACACTAGGCAAGTATAGATATACCTTGCTGTAAATTTAGATGTACTAGTATATACTGTAACTACATAGACAGTATAACATAATTTTTAATCAAAACATGTTATACACCATAGATGTAAATATGAATTTTAGCTCGCCTCACCTGTCACAAAGTGACATAGTGAGCTATTGTGATCGCTTTTTGTCCGGCGTCCGTCCGGCGTAAATTTTTACTTTAAACGACATCTCCTCATAAACCGCTAAGCCAGTTTCATTAAAACTTCACAAGAATGTTCCTTTGGTAGTCAACTTTAAAAATTCTTCAAAAAATTTAATTCCATACAGAACTCTGGTTGCCATGGCAACCGAAAGAAAAAACATAAAAATTTTCTTATAGAAAAACTGAAAGAGCTAGAGCTTAAATATTTGGCATGAAACA